TTTTGATAATTTTCGTTTTGTTCTATCTTCGGCCCATTTCAGCCCATGGGTGATCCTTTGAAATTTCGGCCCATGGGTGCCCATTAAAATTTCGGCCCATGGGTCGAATGGGCCGGGCTGGGCCGGGCCAGGTCGGGCTTGGGCCGGCCCATTGAGACCTCTGATTCATACATAATTGTTGAATAGTATCACCTAATGTAATCAATGGATCGTACACTGATGAACATGTATATAATTTCAGTGATAAATGAGTAAGTTGACCAAACACATATGACAAAAGCGTAACAACACGATAGAAACTTATGTTATTCACACAATTCAAACTAAAACGAGAGAGATGACGGCGAAAACAAATATCGACAGGAACAGGTCATCTAAAAAGTTCCATTTTAATGATATCCTGATATATTTTTGGATATTTTTACACCAATAGAACGATTTTCAAAGATGGCACACACATAAGTAAACGATCTAGAAATCTTAATGTGTTCATACCAATGCTCAATGTACGAAGATGATTTGTATTTGAAAGATTTGGTAAAGTCGTCAATGGTGGTGCTGAATATTTAGGTAATCGATTCTGAGTTTAAGAGCAAAAATTAAATTGAAGTTGACAGATTGTTAATACAGGCAGACATAAATACATCTGCATCAAAAAGAAAAGATAAACTTTTGTACCTAAGAACATGTGAAAATTTTTCTTTCAAAGATAAAAATACGAATTCAATAATGAATTTGAATAATTTTCTGTTTCTTACCATAGCTAAATAAGCTCCTTCCACCACTTGATTATTTAACAAACTATGTCTCACATCGACCAGTAAAGTATGTACTTGTTTTATTGAATAATTACTCAATAATTTATCAAATTCATGTTGTTGAATATTGATCAGATGAAGACGTCGAAGTAATGTTTCTTGATGATATTTCAATGACGATGAAACGCGTGACCATCCACTAATAATATTACTTAATGTAATACGAAATGAAACAATTCGATCTTCTATCAATTGTAATACAATTTGACAAAAATCATTGAATATCAATAACGACATTTTATTACTACCAATATAAATGTGCCACAAATATTCCTATATAATCATTCTTGAAAAACGTTTATTTAACGTTGAAAATGATAGAATAATATCAACAGAAGATAAATAATCAAAAATTTGACATAAAACATTGGCAGGTAGAAATAAAAATGTGCTGATATCGATCATTTTTTTTCATTTCTATTGAGATTATATATTTAATGACGAAAACAATGATGCACGTCCATCTGTTTTATTTGATCGATGTCATTTTTATATTTTTATTCTATTGTTTAGCTATCTATTTTTTTTTTATTTATTCAATTTGTTTATTTAAAGAATAAATTTTACTGAATTGTTTTTGATGATAATAAAATTAATTTTGTTATAATGAATTTTCATTTATTTCCATTCAACTAATTCGAAATGGCATTATTTGTAATCATTCTTCAATAAATTTTCTTTAGAAATTCTCATTTTTACTAATTAGAAACAAAAAAATCTTTTTAGAAGTTAATATATATCGAACATTTATGATAATCTTTCATCTGATATTTATAAAAACTCAATTTAATAAGAATTGTTTCTATTATGAAAAATGCGATTATGTCAATTAACTCATTCTCTAGTTTAGTCTTGAAAAATATCTCTACAATTACTTTATTTTTCTCTACTGCTCGATGTACATGAATCGCATATATACATGATTTCTTCTTAATTTAATAAAAAAAAATCTTCAACTTAACTATTTAAAACATTATCATCAAGTAAATTATTTACGCCTAAAAATTCAAATATTTTTTCATTTATTTACATGATAAATATATCTAGATGTTTTTTTCTTTATTTTTATTTAAGGACTAAAAGAAAATCTAACATTTTCAGTACTTAAAAGAAAAAAAATTCAACTGAATCATCTTCCATTTTCTTCAGTTGACCATCTTCAATTTCAAAATCAAATGTTCTTAAATTAGATGGATTTTCTTTTTTGACAAAACCCATCATTTGTTAACGTAATTCATTTTACACTTTTTTATTTTGTTCATTCATTTGACTTTGATTCCTAATAAACATCTATATGACCATTAGGATTTGTTGACAATGCCCCAAAAAGCACTTTAATTCGATCTGTTGTATAATTGTTCATGTGCATAACTTTTTGAATCAACATAGTAACAATCTGACCACCAACAAGCGATTCAACCATATCGTTTCAATGTTAATTCAATTGAAAAATTTACTCTTCAATCAATGCTCTTGGAAGTTCATCTCTCTAATGCTATTTCAACGAGCATTAGACAATGTTTCGGTCTCAAGATCATCGGGTCACACTATATGAACTTTAGATGCGGAATTCGAGAAAGAAAAAAAATCTCGAACGATCGGTATACAATACTTCGCACCGTATTAATGACGAATATGCAAAAATTCGGTCAAGCTATTGTAATACGAAAAGCAGCTAAAGAATTAGTAATTTGCGAAATGTTATTGTCAAAGACGATCAAGATCATAAACAAAGGGTGGCTTTTGATACTGTTAAACATGTTTTTTTTTTCATAAATAGAGTTGAACTAAAAAATTATGTTTGCAAAATTAATCGATGTGTGGCTTATAGAAAATGTTTGGGGTGCGTTAAAAGGGAAATTGTGAGAACAGAAATATAATAAAATTTGAAGAATTAAAAACTATATTAAAAAGGAACGAAATAAATTCGATGTTTCTTTATGTCAACGAATGATAGATAATACAATAGCACGATTTAAATTAACAATTGATCAAAAGGTTAATCAAATCAAAGAACATTAATAAGTTGATATATATTTCTTTTTTTTCAAAAAGTTGCATTTTTCTTAAATAATAATCAAGATGATCAGAAGAATTGAAAAAAAAGTACATGACAGTGTTATAACAGATTCTCATCCATAGTAAAAGATATAGGCCTCAAACTTTGTAGTTATTTAGTACTGTATAGGTGCAATCATCGGCCAATATGTCAAAGAGTTTGCTTTTGTTGAATGCAAGAATGATACATTTCAAAATTACTTCAGAACTTTTGAAACACCCCTCATCAGTTAGTACTTAAATATTATTTTAATTTATTGTTCAAATATTTCAGAGTTTTGTTTCAAGAAAATTACCACTGCACAATAATTTCCAACATCACATACAGTTTTTGTAAATCTGTAATAAAAATAAATTACAAGCGTACATAAAAAAAAAAGTATAATTCCAAAACGAACGAATAATGAAAAAATATGTATGGATACAACTTTACGGGATCCCGAAACTTGCGCACGAATTGTCTAATAATCAGTTTTACTTTGATAGAAAAAAGTTAGAAAAAACACAAACAATTAATAGTTTTATTTATTTCTTAGAATCTTATATTGAAATATTTAGATTTATGAATAAGACACAAAAAACAAGAGTTGATGATAACGTCCATAAAAATACATACAATATTACTACTGAGTGTTCATATTTCAAATCAAAATATTCAATTAAGAATAATGTTATGTGCTAATGCAGTGATTTGATCAATAATATTGCGATGAGGATTTGAGACAAGATTGAGTAAACGTTTGTCAAGATAATGGTGAATAGTCTGGATTGATGACCGATTTCCGTATCACTATTAAATGAAGTAAAAAGAACGGACTAGTCTATTTTTTTTGTTTTTGTTTCTTTATAAATGTGTGTGAGTATATATATATCGTGCGCATCCTTCCGTGCGCAACTTTCGCCATGCGCATCTTTCGTATACCCGACTTTACAATCAACTACTAACTGAATATTACCTAGAGAAACCGATTATATTGATAACGCTATGCCGATCTTTCTGAAAGGCAGGGATGCTAAGAGCCATTTTTGGATCACGTTTAGTTTTTCTTTATTGATTACTTCCAAGATATAAAATTTCTTAATAGATCGTTTAATAGAACAATCAGGCTTTCTTGTGAAACATCGAGATCTTATCTAGCTCAAAATATTAATGATATTCACTTCGTTATTATAAATGGATAACTCATACATAGATAGAAGATTGAACAATTCAAGTTTTGGACGAATGGCTATCGGCATGAACATGTGAGTATTTCGATGTCCATTAAACGCTCTCATCCTCAATTTTCTTTTTTCATTATTTAAATCTTTGTCGTAAAATCTATATGTAATCATGCCCTTCAAATTTCAAATAAAGACTAATTCCTTGAAACTTTTTGATGTTATTTATAAGAAACTCCGAGAGAATATGAAAAGGGAGAGTTTCCGGCACGTGCTATGATCCCAATAATAACATGTTTCATTTTTAGCTACAAATGCAAGCAATAGTTGGTGACCGCTCACTTCGTCGCGATCACTTCGTCGCAGAACAATTTTTTTTCCTTCTGTTCGTCGCAGAATAATTCCTTTCGTTCTGTTCGTTGCGTCCCTCTCAATTAATTGTTTTTCAAGACATGAAATTGATCAATTTAATTCATCTTTATTTTGTGCATGATACATAAGATAATGATGAACAAATTGAGTACAAAAAAAAAGAAAAAAACGAAACTAGAAAAACCAAAAAAAGAAGAGAAAAATAAAAAAAATTAAAGAGTAATGTTAGCCGCAATATTTTTTAAGTTATTCTTCGTTCACTGGAGCTCCATCAGAATGACATTGTATTTAAATTTTTTATTGATCCGTTTTCCCAATTAAAGTCATATGTATTAGAACAATCAATTGTCTATTGTTATTGTACACATCCTTTAGAGTGTTTAATTTATTTTAATTTATTTTATTTTATTTGTTTATATTTAAAAAAAGAATCAATTGAGAGGAACACAACGAACAGAACGAAAGAAATTGTTCTGCGACGAACAGAACGAAAAAAAATTGTTCTGCGACGAAGTGTCGTGCGACGAAGTGATTGCGACGAAGCGTCGTGCGACGAAATGTACTAGTGCTCAATAGTTAATCTACTAGAAATTTAAATTAGTTAAACGTATAAGACAAATTAAATTTCGATTACTCTTAATGGCAAACTTTCCATAAGTTGATAGTAGAAGCAAGATAGGATTTTTTCATAATTTGCCTTGATAAAAGTTTTTTTTTTCATTAGAAGTTATGGTAAGCATGCTCAGGGAAAAGAAGACTAAAACTCACAAACATATTCACACTTACACTGTAGGCCATGCTCATTCTTACACCCGTCACAAAACTAATGTATGATCAAAGAAAAGCGACTTGGATTGCCTTCTCATAGGAAAGATTTTCAGTCTTGGAAATGGAGTAATAGAAAAAAACTTCGTTTTATATACTAATCAATTACTTACGAAATTTACTCGGTATTATTTTCCACGATGAGAAAGTGACAACAAAATAGTTTTATTGACAACAAATTCAATAAATTGTTGATGTAAACGCGATGTATGATCGATGCGATGATAATAAGCGAGTTGGGGATCGATGTTTATTGTATCGTTAGGGCTTAATTTATTCCAGTTTTCACCACGCAGAGCAACTAAGTCATTCTTAGAAGAAGACAACACCATAGCAGCAAGTGGAAAGCCGATTTCTGGAAAAATTTGATACTTGAATATGAGTTTTGTCACAACCAGCCAATCTGCAATCATGCGCTGAGGAATGTAGAATATATCGGAGAAAGCTGCTGGAAGTTTGGCTTGTGTGTTATTTAGATAATTATTTAGATATTTTAGATATTGACTACTATTGCGACTAAGTTCTTTAAGATCAGACAAAAATGAAAGGGCTGCCTTTTTTCCGATACCTGAATCCCAATGCCAACCGATAGCATGTATTGGATCAGTCAAATCGATACCTGGAAGCCACATACTGTCTAAGTTGAGTTTCTCGAGATTGAAGAATATTGGTATTAAATCAAAGTGAGACGTCAAGTAGCCACCATGATTGGGACATCGAGTAATTACTCGCGTGAGACAATTGTAAGCTTGATGACCGGTATGTCCCTCAGGACAGAGAATCACTTGTGGATGTGGAGTTGGACCAGTGAAAATAACTAGTCGAAACAGATTCCGGTATATTGTAAGAAAACTAATTCGTTCATAGTAATGACCTTGGTTGAAATGAATAACTAAAACAATGTCGTTTTTTTCCCACAAGCTCACAGGTTTTCGTGTGACATCGATAAATACATCTGTGGAATTGCTTGTTTCATTGAAACATGATTTTTCCTTATTCATAAGTTTTGTTTGATTGAGTTGCGAATGGTTCAAACCAATTCCAGGTGGTATATTCATCTTAGCCTCTGCATTTGTATGTTTGCCGCTATAATATTGAAAAACTTGTCGATTATAGAACACAAAAAGTAAAGCTGATAAGAGTAAGATGGTTGCCGGCACTATCAATCGAAGACGAGAGCTTTTCAAGTCAACTACCTGAGATTGGTTAATATTAATGTGAACCATCGGGGTTTGTTCTGTGTCTAATGACCATATGTCAGTGCTCTGCGAGTTGCTTGGAGTTGTATTCATCTTGGATATGACTGCAGTAGTCGTAAGATAGGTAGAAGCTTAATAAATAACGACGCCGTAAATTGAAATTATCGTCAAGTTTGATTTTATTATTCTTCTGTCATCAAATACATTCTAGTAGACTAAAAAAACATTCTAGAGTAACAAACAGAAAAAAAGATAATATTAAGTCATCTGACACTCACCCACCTTAAAAAACATAATCCTCGCCCGATTTGCTCATTGAAATGCTATTTTTCCTAGTTGGTCATAGAAAGAAGATCCGAAAGAAATATATCTACCCACAAGACGTTCTTTATCTTCGGCTGAAAACTAATATTCTGACAGAGATCATATGCAACGCAACAAAGAAAGAATAGTTTCATTTTTATTCCCTTTGGTAATCATAATTAACAAACACACGTAATATACCTTCACATGTGTTAGAACATCATCCTATGATTGACTTAGTTTATTTATAGAGTATCACATTTATTCATAAGACCAATGGTTTGAATATCGTCATTATCTACCTATATAGGAAGAGCAATATGCATCATAATTTTAAATGAAGCTATGAATTCTAAACAGTAATGGAAAATAATTTGATATAACAGTGTTTCGATTTCTACGTAGATGATCTTAACTAAGCATATACGTTATGATTGTTTATGATCTTGCCCATACTGTAATAGAGATTTTTTCAATGTTTCAACAAATGTTTTATTATCTGTTGAAGACAACACTCTGAAGTCGAATGAAAACTTCTAAACCATAAAGTAAACGTTCGATGGAATGAAATTTATGTGTATAATTGTATATAGTTTTTTTCAGAAGATAAATTGCTCTACAGCATGCCCTTGAAACAAGCTCCCGTTTTTTCATCCGACAAAATGTGACAAAGAAAATTGAAAAGTTCCGTGTTCTCAATATTACACTGTGAAATGTTTCCATCGCGTCAATCATCTTATATGGCATTGTGATAAAACTTGTTTTTAAAAGATTTTGTTTTCATCAAGATAGACTCAAGACACTTAAAGCAGTGAAAAACTACAAATTCTTAAAAGCAACTTTCTTACATAATTTGAAGCATACTTTTTTTTACAGGGTACGTCACCAGAACAAAGTCAAAAATAAAATTCAGCAGTATATTCGAGTTTCTTTTGAGACGACACATCAAACAATACTAAACGTGACTTTAAGATTAACAAAAAATTATTCTAGTAGTATTTTCGACATGATCTTGTAGTATATTCGATTATGCCACTTCCTCTACCAATCCTAATAGTATAGAATCGTCAGTTTTTTCAATATGAAGAAAACACGAAGTCAACTCTGAAAAGTGGTACTCTCATTTATATCATTTTACGCAAGTTTGAAGCAGCAATCCATCGTTCTTGTTTCTAAACATCTGATAAAACAAGTTTGAAAAGTTTCTGTTATCATGAAATAGACTCAAAATAATGGCTGATACAAAAGTCCTTTCACGGATCTTTGCGCGTCTCTTTTTGAATCGAAGGTCATCTTTTTCTTCAAGAAATCTATGAAATTAATTGTTTCAGATTACTATTAGATAATTTGAGCAAAAGAACAAGACAATATGCTTGAAAGCACATTATAACTTGTATTTCATGAAAAATACTGCTTAGCGTCCTTGAAAATAAAAGCAGTACGTGAATTATTTTTTCATCACTTTTCGTAATACTGCCATTGATTATACGAATATTTCAATGTACTTCTCACGTCAGATAGAGATAATAACGACTGAAAGATTGTTGAAACATGTTAAGATTAAGAATTTTTTAATACCTGCTCGATAACTGATCAACCATAGTTGACTATTTGAATGATTTCAATGAATATGCACGGTGACATTTGACAAACATTTCGTGTAAATGATGAATGAAAGCATAAAGTTTGTTCGAAGCGTTTATACTCACGAGTTTTGTTTCTTAAAGCGTCACTATCGATTTATCTTTATTAGCTGATTCCTTTTTGTATAATAATTTCACTAAGGCTCTCTTTTTGTAGACAAACTGTATATGTACTTTTTGAAATAATAGCCTTTAGCTGAGAAACAAACACATTGCAATTTTTCTAGTCACATCATAACATATTGCAGCGGTTCTCCTCGATATCATTCGATTCATTTCAATGAAGACATATCAAAACCAAATTTCTATAAAATGAAACAAGAAAAAATGTAAAATTTTTCTGTTTCACAGCTGAAGTATATCATTTCAAATAGTAAATTTAAGAGTTTGTTCATAGAAATAAAACCTCGATAGTGTCACCTATTCTACAAAAAAGAGTCAATTAATAAAAATGAATCACTAGTGAAGTAACCGAATAAAACATCTTTGAGTATGACCTTTTCAGATAGTTCTTAGACTGCTGAATCCATAAATATTCTTTAGAACAGATGAACCCAAATTAGCAAAACAATGAACATCGTGCATCAAGATAATTTTATGTCCCTTCTTTTATAATGAGAAATTCAATATAGAAAATAGGAAACCAGTAATTATCTAACAAGTTTCTAGTTTTTATTTATTTACAACTCTAAATTTATCTTTTTATGGATTCGTTCATAGTATCGAGATTTTCAATGGATTTTTATTAACAACCACAGCAGTATTTTGTTTAAAGTGATAAGGCTTTTGAAGTTTATTCATCTACCGAAGACTTCAAATTATTTTTATAGTTAGTTGACATCCTCACTGTTTCAAACAACTCATCATCTAAGCGTATTCTAACGATTATACATTATGTATTTTATTGTTCCGCTTATTTGCAAAGATGTTCTTCATAAACGACGTTTACATGAACCGGTTGTGTTGATTCTTATGCACATAACAAAAGACCTGCATTACTTATATCGAACAACATAGTGTTTAAGCATATTTTTCCCGAAAAAAAAACGTTTTAAACACTTTCAATCACAATTCCAAGGATAAACATGTACAAAAGCATTTAAAATGAAAACTTCCTCGATAAATGTATTTGCACATGTTTAAGTACTTAGTACAAATGTTTAGACACGCTTGTAAGCATTTGTTATCTGCCGCGTGAAATACGTGAATGGTTAATACATGAAGAGAAGATCTTGTGTCTAATTCGTCGATAGATAGACCAGCGCTCGCCTTTATATAGTGTAGCCACGGTCTAGCAACATGTCCTAATTAAGAATAGTCCTGACAAACTCAACTGTGATTTAAAAATAAGGAATGGGAATGTTTTTTCTTAAGAAACAAACTTCTTACCGTTTAATAGCGTGCACAAGAAAAAGAAAAAGTGTGTGCACCTTACCTGTGTACGTCTGTCGATAGAGTAAGCAACAGCGAAGTTTTTTTTTCGTTCTACAATACATCAAAAAATGTTCTTTTGCATATGGCTGCTGCGTTGTCAATGGAGAACAAAAAACAAACAGAGAGCAATTCCTGAAGTTGGAGTAACGATTCTCGTAATATTTCAGCATCGATAAATAACATTGTATTTGTACGGTATCAATCTGATGACAATAGAAATTTTTCTTTTCGAGAAGACACATTTATAGATTAAATCAAGAAGAAAAAAGCTGACTCTCTGGTTGCTTCTGATTACAATCAGTATTCCTCCTTCCCTGCGTTAAATGGAAAATAGAAACTTCTCCATTTCAATCGATCACATAATTACTTCTGCTCTAATCGTTTCCAACCTTCATACATATCTAATGGTACACTTATTTAGACCAGAGACCGAAACGAATGACAAAAGTTCTATTTGATTCGATTCAATTCTATTCGATTCAGACAGTTTTTAAAATATGTTATGTATTTTTACATGCTCTCTACTTTTGGATAATGTTTTTTCTAGGTAATACCCTCGAATTAGTTTCATCACGATATTTTTGCCCTAAACGAACAGAGCGCAAATGTAACAACACTCGATTACTTTTTGCTGATATAAAATATGCTTGAACAATACGTTTTAAATTAGGATCAGCAACTATTTGAAGCAATCACATTGAACCAGCAATTCATTCTGTGCATTTCTGCTTTAGTTCTTTTTCTAATGCAGTTTTCGAAGAACTACATGTCGATCGAGATGAAAGAGTCAGCAAAACAAAATTTTTTTAGTATGAGATTCATTTCGGTATCAGCAATGAGCATATAGATCAGCTGTTTTAAAATCCATATTGTTGTGGGTGTAGGTGAGGGTGTGTATCTTCTCTTCACATCCACCCCCATACTCATACCTACACGCATAATATTTTTTCTTCATTTTATTTTTGAGAATTTTTTACGGCAATAAACGATAGAAAAAATATCATAGTTAGTGGAGCGGATTGTAGTATTATCTTTATTTCGCATTTTCAATTC